CAAAAAGAGTCTTTAAATTTCTTAGCTAAAGTTGTCCTTCAAAACCACCAAACTCTCCATCTTCTTACAGCTGAAACTAGAGGACTTATGACAAGAAATATCAGACTTATAGACAACTGCCAATCAGTAGAGGGGTCTAAGAGTCAACTGGTTACAATCTCTACTCCAGTACCTTAAGAGCAGTTTCTGGATGTGGCTCTTCCTCCAACCTGCCTTTCCGTTCTAGTGCTCATTCTTTGATTATACATTCTTTAATTTCTTGGAAAATTTGTTTATTCTTGCTAGAGGCTGCCAAACTCCACGTGATTGTGCAGATGGAACCAACAACAAATGGGCCTGACTCCTTTTACCAGGATCCACTATATTGACCTTGTAAAGGGAGTTCATAACTACTAAACTGCAACATGACTTCTAGCCAAGGCTCCTTAGATTAGCTCTCTAGAGAAGGCACCTGACTGTGGTTTCTCCTACACTGACACTTCTCAGCTTGAAGCAGCTAGATGGAAACTACACCCCTTCTCCCCTAACCTCAGAGATAGCTCTTCTGAGGGGAGGATATTATAGACAGTCAAGTTAGGTAGAAATATTATAGGCAGTCAGACAGGGGTAGGCCCTTGAGGAAGTCAGTGCAAAAGATGAGAACACATCAAAAACTGGCTGGAAGTGCTTCTGAAGAAGATTAAAGTCACAATAGCCAGATTTACATACTTCCCTAAGGAAGCTTGAGATTATTGGTACTATTCTTTTGAGATTTTCCATATAAATGAATCATTATCTCATTAGGAGTGGGCCATCTTCTCCTACCCACTAAGACTAAGACTACTAAGACTAAGGCTACTAAGACTAAGACTAAAGACCAGAGTAAGACTAGAGATTATTGACGAAGGTTAGTGATGTCATCCATATGCCCTTGTTACTATTGGATCAGTATAGCTAAATGGCTATACTTGTAATCATATTGGTTTATTATAATTTGACCCACATTATACTCACCCCTCATGACTTTACTATATAAAACTTTTTCAGAGAAGTGGGCTCATTGGCAACCCATTTGGGACCTCCTGTCTCTCAGGAGCGATACCTATTCCCCCATTCCTATACTCCAATAAATTTTCCCACTCATAAAAATAAGTCAGAACCTTCACCCTACTGTCAGTCTGAACTGTCTTAGACAAGGGACCAAATTTAAGATGAGGGTGAATAGAGATAAATATAAACTCCTACACTTTAATCTGAAACAACTATCTGGAGAAGTATACCAACAGCTAGGCAAGTTCAATGTGAATAAGTGGTTTGGTTACATTAATAGAAAGATCTAAATTAGAGGAAGTGAGTTTTTCATTATTAAACTGTACTTGGAATTTTGTGCTCCATTCTCCTGATGACAAACTGGAATATGTCCAGGACAGGGAAAGAGTAGGCAGAACATTGAATATTTATTCTGGAAGAGGCTTAAGGAAGTAATTATTGTTGTTTTCAAACATCAAATGGTTACCATGTACAAAAGTGTACAAATGTTATCATGTACAAAGTGATTTCAGTTTGCATTTTCCTTTAGGCTAGTCCAAAATTTTTAGGTAATAGGATTTTTGTCTCAATAAGAACAGTTAAAGATGTCTAAAGATGAGAGGACCATCTAAAGGCAGTTGATGTGTTTTGGCCATCCTGGCACTATTCAATGGTTAATCAGGGTTTTTGCAAAAGAAGTCTACGACTCTGATTTTTCTCTTTTGAATGGATAAAGAATCCATATAGATGATTCAGAAAAAAATAAGTGGCCATTGATAAATATGTGAAAAATAACGAAACATGGCTAGTAATAAAATTAAAATAGCAGCTAAGAACTACTTTTGTTTGCAAGAAAGAAAGAAGAAAATACCCAAATACTACTTAGTGCGATGAAATCGGGGTGAGCACTCACTGCTGCTGGGACTGAGTCCTTTTTAAAAACCTAGGAACAAGAGCCACACTGACAATACTTCTGTTCCATGAGTCCAATAGGCTATCTAAGCACAAGACAAATCGAAAACACATCAATTGCCACCTTCATGAAGATGTTCATTGTAGTGTTACTCATATAAACTGGAAGCAACTTAAACATTGAAAAGTAAGGTAACATTTTTTAAAAAGTCATTTTGTACAAAATGATAAGGTATCATATTATGTACATGGTGGGGGAGGGGGCTGCCAGCTATGATATTCTACAGATCCAGTGATTAAAATTATGTATCAAATAGATGGATACGACAATAGATAAGAAAGAAAATTCCCTCTCAGTTGAACTCTGCTACTAGCTGGCTGTATTATTCTGGGCAAACTCCTTAACTTTTCTGTGTCTCAGATGTCCGGTCTATAAATTAGGGTGCCTGGATTTGACAGTCTTTAACATCCCTTTCAGTTTTGTTTTTAAAAATATTCATTTATTATTGACACATACAATTTGTACAACCTTCTAGTTTTATCATGTGAGCAAAATGGATCCATTTAATGAAGGACCTGTAATCCCAGGGAGATCAGAAAATCAGCCACTATTTTATCTTCAGACTTTCTCCATCATGTGATACTTTCTTGTATTATATATTTTTAGGAGCCAGTTTGATGTGTAGCAGATGGGAAAAAGTAGAACTTTCAATCCCTTTCAAATAAATTGCTATATTTGAAGGAGATTTAGCCACATACTCCAAAAATACTTTATTATAGAGTAACATAAAACAGTTCCCGAGTAATTAAGAATGCTTTATCCAAAAATGACTTCAAATTAAGATACGACTTCAAGAGCATCACACACAAACACAGTTCCAGAAAGCTTTATTCACACCAAAGAGGGAAACATTTAATACACAAATTTATTCACTTGCTCTTGAGTTCCTTAAGAAACTGCCCCACCTACCACAGAAATAAAGTTGTCCTTATCCAGCTCATGAATCCTTGCTTTGGCTACCAATGAGAAAAAAAATGGCCCAAACACATGTTCGACCATTTAATTCTGAGGGGGATCTGTGAAGCAGGGCGACAGAACATGAGGTTTCAGCTCACAGATAAAAGTTTTCTTGTCATACTAGGCTCCTTCTGAAACTGCCCTCACCTGTGCAGAACTTTCTAGAAGGATATGATTCCTTAGTTCCGAATATTCTCATCAGGCAGAGAAGATGGCCAGGACAACTGCAGCCCTCACCCTTCCAGGCTTAGCATCAATGTCCCAAAGGGTCTTAGTAGTCCCTGATACTGGTGACGGGGGATTGAACTGCTCTGAGAATTCACAGGAAAGATGCTGTTGTCTGATTAGAATCCTGCAGGCACTATCCTTTTGACAGAGTTCCCTCAGCTATTCTGATAATCTAAGTGAGTGTCTCTCCTGCAGTCACTGAGAATCACTTATTGACAATGGTTGTATGTATATGCTATTTTCTGCTGGCCACCTCTTATATTTGGTCTCAAACATTACCCAATCGGGCCAATGACCTGACTCATCAGATATGGTGCCCAATGACCATGGCTCTTCTTCCTAGTAAAGTTTCTTCAAACAACCATTTGTCATCAAGGATGATACAGCTTTGAAGGTGATTCTAAATTTGGGCCTGGAAAAGGCAGTAGCAATGAACACACACACACACACACACACACACACACACACACACAGATTCTGAGGTGACCAGGTGGAGCAGCCTTGTGGGTGGAACATGCCACTGTGCTCATCAGGACAGATGGGCCATGAGCTTACAATATCACCATGACCACAGGGATAAAGGAGATAGGGATACAGTCCAAGCATCCTAAAGGACAATGGCCTCACTGGGTGTGGCCACCCAGAAGAGGAGTTGACTGAGGCTGGCTCTATTAAGGTTGCTGCTGGTAAGCCTTGCAGGCAGAGCACATTAAAATACAAAATTGTCGTGAAAGGACCGAGAAAAGCTCTTGAGAATGAAGAGCTTCCTCTTCCACTTCTTCCAACAGTGACTGGTGCCCAGTGACCTACTGCTTGTTTCAACTCCTCTTTCCCACCTAGCTCCTTATGGCTCTTGGGGTATGTTGTGTTCTGGGTATCTGAGTGTCTCCCAAATGTTCATCTGCTGGATGAAGCACGGTCCTCCTGTAGTGGTGGTGAAGACCTAAAGCCAGGGATAGTGGTACCCTCCCGTGATTGCAGCACTTGGGAGGCTTAGGCAAGAGAATCAGAAGTTCAAGGCTATCCTGGGCTACAGTGAGATCTCAAAAAAAGGGGGAGGCCTAGCAGAAGGAAATAGTACTGTAGTTATCCAGGGACTCGGTACCCATTTAGTGCCTAGGACACTGCATTGATATTTTAAAAGGCAACCTTGGCTCAAAATGCACTTTCTCTTGCTTTGTGCTTTCTCCCTTCTGCAATTAGCTGGCTCTCATTTCCATTTCTTCAGCAGATTGTGACGCAACTGGGTGGTGGTCCTTGCAGGGGCCTGGTACCATATTGTTTGGATGCTACAGCCATCAGAATCATGAATCAAATAAACTTTCTTATTTCATAAAGCATCTAGCCTAGGTATTTTGTTATAGCAACAGGAACCATCCTGAGAGAAGGTGAGTATGCAGAGGGCTGGGGTGGACTAAACTTGGGAAGATGAGTCTTAGGGTTGGAATATCACAAGAAAGCCTTAGGACTTGGGTAGGTTGTGGGGCTGTGTCAGTTTATTGTTTGATAACTCTCAAATGAAGAGCAAGCTCCATCTAACCACAAGTTCTAAGGCCCTGGGCTGGAAGGCCCATTGTCCAACAGTTCCTCACACTGGAGTTGGAATTCATGAGATCCACAGGCAAGTCCAACCTTGGACTGTGTATGTACTTGTAGGGAGGTGTGTTTTTCCACCGAAATGAAAGCATGCAAGAGGATGGGTATAGTATGTGCAGCCGAGACCCTACAACCAGACTGCAAAGAAACGTACACCTGCCCTATCACAGGAAAGAAACGGAAATCTGTTTACTCTCAGTATTTGCATACGGAGACAGAGCACATTAATACTCCATGGTGCTTTTCTTCAATTGATGCAACTCAGTAATTTTTATTGCAACTGGAAGACAATACATCACAGAAACTTTATGGTAGGTCTGGGGAAAAGTGTTATTTACAATAAATGATGAAATAGTTTGTCTTTGGCAATATGATTACATATGAAGAATGCAAAATGCAAGTATAGATCCTCCAAAGCAAGACCAAGTCCCTACAGTTTGGCTGATTTTGCCCATCTCCAAACTGCTCCTTTAGGTTAACACAAACACAACTGAACATCACTTTCCTTCTCCTTTATAGTTCTCCCTTTCTATTCATGATATTGGCAGTTTCATACAGGAAAAAAATTGGCTTCTGAAAAAAATTATTACTGTCGTAAGTTAATTTGGCCATCTAGGTCTATTGGCCAGCAAAGGTGAGTTGACCTTAAGCATCAATCGTAAACCTCTTGGTCTTCTGATTGCTTTATCACTTTTTTTTCTTCTGTAAAACAAAAACAAAACTCAGAAATGTTACAGAATCAGAGTATAAAAAAGTGTACAAGGTATATGCTTCCCAGACACACACGGATACTTTTTTCCTCCACATTTTCACCATGGCAATATAAGTAGTGAGTGTGAATGACACAGCATGAAACTGGTTACTGAATCTGCTATGAGCTTGGATGGCCTCAACATACATACTCAGAAATGGTGAGTGTTTTATTAACTGAGTGTGTGCTACGTTTCCTCTAAAAGGGATGGGGGATGGGGAACTCAGGCCACAGTCATGAAAGGATAAAATACAACTTCTAGGTTCACCATATTGAAGTCTTTGAGAATCCAATATGGAATATCAACTATTTGCAAAAGGTAGAGAAGGCTTTTTCTCCAGTTTTGCAAATGAAACACAGTGGAGAAACACTGCTGTATATATTCCAAATAAATAGTCTCGGTTTCAACACTAACAGAACAACAGGAAGGGTACGTGTGAGCATCTCACGGTAATTCAGAAAAGGATCTTTTTCACCTCAGTCTGATTTCAGAAGCACAACGGCAAGATGCAGCACCATAGATACATTGGTTTCGGCTGTTAAAAGATGAATCATTTTGCAAATGGTGTTTTCCTTCCTTAATTTTTGGTCAGTGAAGCTAGCACTTTGCTGAACTGTGGAAGAATGCCAAGGTCACACACATTATTCATGATAAAGCAACTGAGCTGACGAGTCTGTGCTTAATTCAAGAAGAACCAGCAGGAGAGCAGACACAGGAGTCAGCCACCACGGCTGGTGCTCTCTCAAAGGAAGAGGGTCAACAGATGACTTCACAAAGGTAGGTAAATCTATATAGAACACTGAATGCCGTGTGTAAATCCTCATGAAATTCCAAGAAACAGGAACACCACACAATGTATATACTTTGATTTACACATTCCATTACAAAGAAAAAAAGAGACACCATTACAACTTTGTAACTGTTAACTGCAATATAAACCAAAGTCCAGAGTTTGGCAGGTAACTAAAAGGGCTTCATCACTTAGGTTATATAGCAAAAGTGTTGATGTATATTATATATAGTAGTATAAATAATAAAAAAGTATTATTTAAATTAGATCACAGTGCTGCATTATGTGCATAACAGTGTTTGATATAGTATTGGTGGGCTGGGACCTACAACACTAAGGACTTAACTGTCAACACTGGTAAGTCACAATCAAGAGGGGACATAGAGTTCCAATGTTTTCTTTTGGTGGCAAAAAAAAATTCCTGAAGATGAAAGAAAAAATACTTCTCCACAAACATAAAAATAAATCGCAACATCTGGGCAGCTGTGATCCACCAGAAAGAAATGAGTCCCAATCCGAATCAAGGTGAAAGGGAAAGAGAAATCACATTGAATTTAATCCGATCCCATATGCAAAGCCCTCCCCTGTAGGTCACTTGTACAGACTCATTCCTTCTGAAAGAGCCCTTCAGCAGGAGGCTGGAGGCCCCGCAGAGGAGCCACTGTTACTCAAGTCAGCTGCACATGGTGCTGGGCAGCCCCATGTGATGGACTCAGAGCAGGCAGAGCCATCCTTATGGCTTCCACTCTACAGAGCCCACTGCCCTGCCTTGGGCAGGGCACCATTTAACGCAGTGGCCTCTTCCCAAATGTCCCATGGGAGTACCTGCCTCAGCCAGCAGGCACTAGCCACACCGAATGCCTCTGTAAGAAAAATCCATTCCTGGGGGAGGCCTCTGACACATTCCTCCTTCAAAACTCTGCCCCAAGATTGCAAACTGCCCCAGGTGTCTTGGCCATGGTTTTCTCAAACTACCCTAGAAATGTGGGTTTGGTTCCTTTTTAGTTTCAGATAGGTGGCCTTACCAAAGTCAAAGTACACTGATTAGAGATGGGAGAGGGAAGTAGGAGGTTGTGGTATAAGGCTGGGAAAATATCTAGGATGCAAACCTTTTCCACAGAGTACTAGATAAGAGACAATTATAGTAGGATAAAAATAACTGTTTAGGTCTATTTCATTTAAGAAAAAAGAGCTGCAGGCTCTTCTTCTTAAATGTGTCCAAGGGCCAATAGCAAGTCATTGTAGATATTGTGGTGCTGATGTGTTCATGGTTGTTTTCCAAAGCATCTTTGAATTGAATATTGCTATAGTTCCCCATTCCCCCCACCCCTGCCCCATGTGAGTGTGTGAGATATTGGAATGACACATGAACCCCCTGCTTCTCCCAGCGGGAGAAATGAAGCAAAGATACCACACCCTGAATGGTGTTCAGGTGAATCTGTCAGACTAATGGATACATATGCTAGTTTGGAAGCTAAAAGAACACCTGACGTTTGGGAAGGAATTCCTAGACTAACGTGAATTACATTTAAGCAAAATAGTCCTTCACAAATAGGCTTGTGCTTAAATTCTCTACTGCTCTCGGAGGAGGGGTAAGAGAAGGTGCCTTTTGCCCCTTGGCTTGTTAAGGACACGAACAACCTCGTTCCGTAATGAAGTCACTACAAACAGCCACATACACATCGATACTTTTTTTCCCCCAACAATCAAAATACAAAGTTAAACACAATTGAGCCATTGTTTTGGTTATGCATAATGTGTATGCCTCCAAAAACAGAAGAAAAATAGAAAAAAAGTACCCTCACTAAAGTTTCCCCAACAAGTCTTCCAGAAGATCTGATGAAGGTGCCAAGGGAGGCTCAGGAAAATAACACTTAGAAAGCTGCCCGATGAGGTATTTATGCAAAAAAGAGTGGTTCTGGAGTGAAGAACGCACTTTTACAAGATATTTCTCTATTTCTCAAAGAGATCAGAAAAGTAAATCACACATTGCATTTTATTATTTTCTAAAAGAGGATTCTGCCCCTTTAGAAAAATGAAATGAGGGGAGACAGCCACTGTGGGGATTTTCACTGGAAGAAGTCCCCTGCCAGAAACCTGGCTGAATGTTCGCCTCTGCCCTTGGAGGAAAGTCTGCATTGGATGTCTTGGGTGTGGGCAACTGAGGTGGTGGTCTTTTGGGCTTGGTCAGGTGACAACACAAATCAAAGTGTGGCTCAGGTTCCAGAGCTGTGAATGGCTTTTATGGTGTCAGAAGCTTGGGGAGAAAGAGGGAACAGAGCACTGCACCGGTCTTCACACCTACACCTTGAGCAAATATGCTGGATGTATTCAAGTTCGGGGTAGGTAAAGAATCTGAGCTTCCTTACAGGTGTAGATGTCTCCTAGTTTCTCTCATCAGCGGCCCACAGAAAGGTAGGTTTGGGGAATGCACCAGTTAACTCCTGGCTGATGGAGTCCTGACAGTACCTAGTCCTGCCAGATGGGCTTGGTTTTGTCTCACAAATGTCTTTTACAAGTTCAAGGTTACCTCAGTTCCCTCCTTCTCCTCAACCATCAGATCCTGAGCCATGGTAGTGGGTGTTTTTGTTTGCATTTTAAAACTCCCCTCCATTTGGATGGAAGATTGTATTCTTTCAGAGATTTCTCTTTGGATCTCCGAAAAAGAAAAAATAATGTTTTCTTCTTTTTTAGGCAAAGATAACAGGAGTTTCTGGTCTGCGTGATATTGTCTGGTTGTCTAAATCCAGCTCTCACCATCTAGGTGGTCTTAATTCCAGGTTGGTTGTGTGCTGAGGTGGTCAGGTCAGCCCCGCCTTCTTACTGCGAAATGGCATTGTTGCAATAAAGTGTGTGTGTGGGGGGGCTGGCCTTTCTAACGCCCTTATCCTTATCCATTGCTTCCTCCTTCACAGGTGCCCTATCTCATACCCTCACCTAATAAGGCCCATTAACATGCTTCCCCTTCTTCTGGCGAATTTGCATAATTATTCACTGCCTTTTTTCCTACAACCAAATCACGGTAATGATTTTCTCAAGTAAGCGTCCCATAATTCTCTTGATTCTATCATACACACTCACTACTAAGTTTGCCCTCAAATTATTGCGTCATGTTAAACATGTAAAGACAAAGAAAAGGACACACTCTTCAGTAGGGAATCAGAGGGGTCGGGGGCTGAGTGCAGACAAGGCAGTGTAGAGTTCAACCATCCAAGCCCTACCAGAGCATGAAGATATTTTTATATTGCAGAGTAAGTTCCCCAACAGTGAGAATTTGTCCCTGAAGAAGGTTAAACCTTAAACACCTGCTTCAAAACACCAAAACAAAATAATCCAAAAAAGAGAAAAAAAGAAACAGAAAAGAAAGAAAAAGAAAGGAAGAAAGAGAAAGAAAACAAAAGAACCTCTAAGCCTAAGGGCTTAAAAATTAGAGGCATAGCCTTTTCTCTATTTCTATATTTATATGAAAATAATTCATGCTTCATGCTAAATACATTATTTACCTTACAAGAACTTTGTTATTTTTGAATAGAAAAGTTTGTTTTTGTCGTTTTTTTCTTTTTCTTTTTTTCTTCAAAGGAATCCATGCATTGTGGATTAGAAATTTCTGCTGGCTACACTGGCTGAATGTGGAAAATCATTGACTTTGTGAAGATGAATCCTGACTGACATTAATTGCAAACTCCTTTTTAAGGGCAGTATAGGAGTTATTATTTTATTTATTTTTTTGTCATGTTCTACTTTTTTATGTCCATCAATATGCCTTGAATCTTTTAAAAATATACCACAACTAATGGCAGTAGTTTTTTCTTCATTTGGATCAAATAGTTTTCTTAGACAGAAAAAGAATCTACACCATTATTACCTTCCTTAACAGCTACTGTAATTTCTTGGGCTTGACTGCTTTTCACTTGGGAAGTTAAGAAGACATGGCCTGTTTTCTCTTAGTCTCATTGTGTGTGTGTGTGTGTGTGTGTGTGTGTGTGTGTACACGCCACATGTGCAGGGCCACCTTTAGGCTTATGGCTTTTGGAACATTTTCTTAATTTAATAGAGAACAGAATTCAGTGATTAGCAACATCACTGAAAAGGTACCCCGTTGCTCCTCCTTAGTCCTGGCACCTGATGTACCTGAAGAGTCCTGTGTTCACCTGTAAGATGTTACCAGGCTGCAAAGCTAAGTGAGCTGTGCTCACTGCGTGGCAGTGCCACAGCTTTCCTGGCACAGGGGATGCTGGGTGCCATAAGCTTGGGTCTGCTCCCAGGGGGACACAGGTTCTTCCTTCTCTCCAACTGCTCCATGTGCCTTGACAGTGAATGCAACTGGAGGGACATCTGAATTTTTAAACCCAAGGGCTGGGTCTGAACGGCGATGACTCTGCACATGTGCCTTCTGGGTGCTGCATGTGTGTTCCCATGGCATTGGAGTTGACATCCCTGCGGATTCAGCCGCATGTTTCTGACAGGCTGTAGGAAGCAATGGTAATTTTGGCTTTTTCGGTTTTGTCTTCAGATAATGAAAAGCTTTTGTAAAACAGCTGAGTGTCAATATGAGTTCTATGGCTTCAATCTCCTTTAAACATAAAATTCTTAAGGGTCCAAAACAAAGGAGAGGGGGGCAAATTAAAAAAGGAAAAGAAAAGAAAGAAAACCAAACCAAAAGAAAAAAAAGAAAAAAAATTGCTGATATTGCCACAAATCATTAGAAATCTCCTGACATGCTGAAACCAAATGGCCATAAGTTCAAAACAAATCAGTGACTTGTTTTCAGTTTTTTGTGGTTTCCTTTTGCTCCTTCTGCCCCTTTGCCGTCCGATTGGTGATGTTATTCAAACAGGACCGGATCCCTGCTAAGTGCAGGAGCGACCCGGCTGCCTCTTTCATCTCCTCATCATCGCTCTCCGGGGGCTTTTCTGTGCGTCTCTTTTTGAGGGGCAGCGTGTCGCTGGGGACCTTCCTGGCCTTGGCGAAGTGCTGGCGCTTCTTGTGCTGGGATGCGTACCCACTGTCCCCCAGAACATCCTTGGCCTCCTTCTGGCTGGGCTTCCTGTCATCCTCTTCTGTTTCACTGTGGCTCTCGTGGCTGTGGAAACTCCCTTCACTGCCTTCGCTGCCCTCCTGGCTCCCCTTTGTGGCAAACTCATAGTGGTCATCAGCTGAGGACGAGGAGGAGGACGAGGAGGAGGAGGAGGAAGAGATGGAGTCGCTGGCAGGCGAGGTGCTCCGGGCGTTGGAGGACTTGGCACTGCTATAGTTGTGATCCTCCTTGGGGTCTCCACTGACCACGGGGGAGCCACACGATGGCTCGCTCTCAGTCCGCATCCGGCAGCTGGTGATGCCATTCCTGCAGGGTGAGGACATGGGGAGGGGTGACAGACAGAAGGGACACAGATTAGACCTTCTCTGACAGGGACACCCAGCAGCCCACCTGTGTGCAGGCACCAGCTACCCACTGAAAAACCTGCACAACAGGTGATCTGAAGACAGGGTCCTAGGTCTTGACACTGTGGCCTTTACAGCTTATCTCCATCCCTGGCCTTCGACTCAATTTCTGTGGCTGAGCCTTCAAAACAACGCTTTTCTGAAGCAACAGCAGTGGATGCTCTACCTCTTACATTAAACCATGAAAATCCAGCTGTGCATGGTTTTGCATAGCTGCCAGCTCCACGGAGTCAGACACTGCCAGATGATGTTGGCTGAGTACTTCAGAGAAAAAGCATGCTCTCTTCCAAAGCTGCTGCATTAGGAGGCATTTGTCAGAAGGCTAAATCCAGTGTTCAGCAAAAAGAGATACCTGCCATGTGGTGACAGCTATTCACTCACATTCCCTCCCTCCTTCATTCAATCTACCAATATTCACTGAGCACCTAATAGAAATGCATGACCTTAGGGAGGATCCGGGGAGGCATATGTGGTTGGATCATGTACAGAAGCTGTTGAGAAGATGCTACAGTCTATCAAAGCAAGTCCAGGTTAGATCACAAAGGAGAGCAGTGAGTTACCACTTCTTGAACTTATCACCACCAGACGCCCTGCTGAGCCTGCCCAGATGATCACATTTAACTCTATAAAGTGCATCTTAGAAGCCTTGTTTCCAGACCAGAAATTGGGTCTGGAATTGGGCCTAGTGATTTCATTAAAGTCATACAGTTATCTGGTAGAAGAGCTGGGCTTAGAATCAAAGTCTGACTGCCAAGGTTGTGGTCTCAACAACACAGACTGGCTTTCTTTTGCAACTTCCCTATGATGAGACTCCCCTGCAGCACTCACCAGGCATTGGACTATTTTTGTGTCTGGGCAATGTACTCACCTCCCTTATGAGCAAAATGGGAAGAGTAACTACACCCACCTCCCAGGATGCTTGGGCTGAGGACCTGAGTTAGCACCTGCAGGAGCCTGGACCAGCGCCTGGCATGGAGCGATGGCTGAAGACTACTTCCTCCTGGACAGGCCACAGTCCATGCATCTGGGTGGGAGCTGTCTTTCTGATGTGCCTGGCACATGGCTGTGAGCAGGTGGAAATCAGAGGGATGAATACTAGCACAAAGGAAGGGTTGCTTGTCAGTAGAAGGAGAAGTAGGGGGCTAGGGGAAGTTCTTAGGAGGATATGACATCTGACCTTGGAAGAGGTGGCTGAGGCAGACAGGCTGTTTTACATCCTGGAGCCTCAGCATCTTCATGAACCTTACAGGACTGTGTGAGGATGAAACAACAAGTCTCAGGCACAGAGGAAGGTTTTCAGTGGTGTGTGACAATTCTTCCTTGCCATCCCCTTCTGGTTGCTGTGATGTACTCTCCTGGGGAAGCCTTGTTTTCTCTTTCTATCCTGGTCAAGAGGCTTATGGGAATGCAGGAGAAAGAGCAAAGAGGCCCTAATGAGAGAATTCCTCAAGGGCTTTCCTGGGGCCACAGCCTTGAGCTTTGGGGACTGGCTCCTCCATATCTTATCTTTTGCAGATTTCCCATTTCTTGGGTACATAAAAATAGCTGCAATAAGGTTACGTGGAAGTGCTCCCAAATATGAAACTTGATAAATATGATAAACTATGTAGCTAGCTCTTCACTGTTGTTAAAGCAAATGAAAATGGAAGTCTTATAAAGTCTTGTATTACAGTTCTCCTGATCATTAAGGGAACTGTGTGAAATACAAAAATAATTAGTTGATTAAACTAGCATCAAACAATTTCCTACTTAGCCCAACTACATGTGGACAAGTGAGTGGGGCTATGTTTGGCTTTTAACAAATCAATTCAGGTCTGAATCTTTATCTTTTGTTTTAAGTTGGGACATATGATTGGCTTGTCACAGGCAGAGTAGGAAACCTTCTTTGAACACATAAAAAGAAGGAGAAAAGCACAACTGAGAGAGGAAGCAATAAGATACATGTTCCACAAAGTCAACTCCTAGTGAATCTCAGTGAGTGGTACCCAATGGGCTTTGTGTTTTGTTCTCCTCTTTCCTGTAAGTTTGAAATTTTCTTAAATAAAAAGTTTGGGGGGTGTGTGTGTGGAAAAATATTACAATCAAAGTAATGATATTAAATTTTAGCTCTACCTCACCCAGGGAGGAAAGACTTTACACACTAGAACTTGTCTCTCTTTCTTAAATAGGGCATAAGCAGTACTGGAGAGGTGCTACAGACCCATTAGGCTCAGATGAGAACTTTCTTCAGGCAATCCCATGGATGAAAGGAGAATAAAGAAAATTATTCCATGGCCCCTGACTTTGTGTCGTGAAGGACAGGATCTCTGGCACCTCCTAGAATCAGGCTGCTGGGGACAATGAGGCCACAACCCACCTTGCAGTAATTCCTGGCTCCCTCTTTCACAGGTAAACAAACAAACTCAGAGAACCTTAAGACTTGTCCAAAGTGGCCTCACTAGTTCTCAAAGGCAGATCAAGCGGGAATTTGCAATACCTCCTGGTTCCCTGAAGACAGGAAACCAGTCCTTAACATTCATAATATTTCTAGATGAAAACAAACATAAAGACATAACTTTACGGAGTGAAAATTAAAATATAAGCATATCTCTTTCTCATTTGATGAAATTAACTTTCCCTGAGATTTTAGCATGGGCTTATAATTCATAAATTGCACACAAAACTCAGCAGGAAGTGACAAGCTCCTTCCATTATTAATAACTTGGTGCAATGTGATTCATGATGGCGCAAACCAGAGTACTGAGCTGGTGTCAAATGCTTCCCGCTGCAGGAGTTGTCATTACAGGACACCAAATGCTTAAAAGATACCAGCTATCCTGAACACGTTGGAAGGTGAATTTTTAACTACCATCTCAAAACACCATTCATTAAAATTAACATATGATACATCTGAAATGCCTGTGATTTTTCAGTGTTAGCTGAATTTACACATCATGATACTCAACGTGAACATAAATTAGCATAAATGAAAGGCAACCTGATTTTACCCGGGCCTCCAAGAATTTAAAGCACATGGTTCAACAAAACCACATGCTATTAATCTGATGTAGAATCTGATGTTTATTCTCTAGTCAATTAGATGGGAAATACTGGGCATAGAAAGCGAGAATTCACACTAGTTCAAGCCAAAAACAAGTAATGTTTGTAACTAACAAGTCAAGCTCTAAGCTTATGCTTAGACATGGCCACTTTGCTGCTTGTTTCTTACCAGTTAATTATTTGTTCCACTACAGTTAAATGGTAAGTGTTGATACCACCCTTTACCTGATATACTGGGGTTCTCTATGGAACTGATGACTTTAAATCTCAGGCTATTATTTGGGGTAGTTGTGCTCCCAGGGCACGGACTTGAAGATTCTGATCTTTTGCCAAATGTGGAAGGCAGACAGAATCAGTAGGATTATACAAAGCTGGGGATGGGAGTGAGCATAACACTTTTCTCCCAAACCAACCACAAGGAGAAAAACAAAGTCAAGAGGAGATGACAAGAGGCTTCCACCTCCATCCAGGTGGCAGAAGAGAAACTGAAAGATATTCATCTGACTACAATGAAAAGGATCCCAGGTAAAATGCAGGAACATATTTTAAAGACACTGCTACGTTCACTTGAAAATAAAGGGAATCTCAGACACCCATCTAGACATACATGTACCAAACAACCTCACACACACAAATGCAAAATGTAAAAATAACCTGTGGTGCAAGGAGTAGGCAACTAAGGAGGCCAAGGTATCCTCAGAGCAAGTGCCCAGCACTGGAACAACAGCTCAAACCTATGCAAGGGGTGGGGGTGGGGGCCTGCTTTGTTGGCTTCATGGGTATTGATGACTCCTCAGGGAAGTTAATGTGGCCTCAAGTACTATATTGGTCCCCTAGGCTTATACCACAAGTTTTACAACCAAATCCTCTCTGGAAGAACATGCTTTAAATTCAAGCCACAGATGATTTTCATGGGCAACACTGAATAGAATACAGATTCATTGAAAAAAAAAATCATCAAACACAAAAGAAATAAGCCACCATGACACCATGAGCAATAGACAACAGAAAAAAAAAAAAAGAAACTATAAAATGTGAACTGCAAGTACTGTAAATGTTGAACTAAGTAGATACAATCTAAAGTTGGGACATTTAAAGAAATAAAGAGGGGACTAAAAAACACTGGACAGGAAGAACAGACTATACAAACTAAGCAGGCAGATTTTGCAAAGTACCAAGTAGAAGTTCCAGAGGTTAAAAAATACAATCCTTGAAATTAAAAACACTCAATGCAGCTCGAGAAAAAAATTAGTGAGTTAGAAAACAGCTCTGAAGATACTCCAAAAAACACAGCAGAGAGACAAAGAGGTAGGAACTATGGGGGAAAGGCTGGATGGTATGGAACACCAAAGGAGAGCCCAGGTAAATCTGTGCGGGTTCCAGAGTAAAAAGAAAATGGGAGATCTAATACTTGAATAGAAAATGGCTAGAAATTTTCTAATTTTGATGAAACTTTTCCAGTTGAAAAAGCCAACAAATCCCATGCAGGATAAATGAAATGAAATCCATTCTTAGATACATCATTATCAAACCTTAGAGCAGTGGTGGCGAACCTTGTAGAGCTTTCAATGATACAAATACCTCACTGTGGTATTCAGGCCTTTGAGTTAAAAAAAAAAAAAAAGGTAAGATTTAAAGCAGCAGAAAGAAAACACATTACCTAAGGAGAAGTATCAATTAATCTAGATCATGTGAAACAAGTGGAACAATATCTCAAGATGAGAGAAAAAAAATTACCTGCCAACCTAGAATTTAACACCATTTCTAAAAAGAGGGCAAAAGCCGCTGGATTCTCAGCCAAAAATTCAGGGCTTCCACTACATACCCTCAGGATAGGAACTTCTTAAAAATGTACTTCAGAGA